GTGTTGACCACTGCTGTTTGGCTGATAGCTTTTGTCCTTTCTGGGAAGATGTCAAGCAGCGCCACGGCATGTATCTTGCTGCAGGATGTGCTAGTTTCGGCTGCAGGCACATCAGGGATGTCTTGCCAAACGTGACATGTTGCCAGTGTAGTGTTGACCCTGCCGAATCGCCTGAGAAGATGCCAAGCCGCGACATGATGAGTATGTTGCTGCCGCGTGTGACAGATTGCCGCCCATTCCTCTTGATCAGGTGAGTCATCCAACCCGCACCGGTGGACCACTTCTTCAAGCTGTGCTTGATCTGCATGCCGAGGCCAGCACATGAAGCAAAGCTTCCGGAAGTTTATGCGACGATTGGACGAAGACTCCACCTTGGGAAGCTCCCCAGCGTGAAGCTTAGCTTCTCTGTCGAGGTGTTGCCTTTGCTCTACTCTCCTGGCCATCTTGAAAAGTGCTCGATCCCGGTGTCTCTCTGAGGTGTCCCTGTCTCCTGGGTTCCCCACTCCAGGAAGCGAGGACGAGTGCATCAGCCGATGGCATCAGCCCAGTCAACATGTCACTGATAGCGGAGGGAGCATCATGTCGCATCTCATGTTCTGTGACGAAGCTGCTTCCAGCTCAAAGAAAGCTGAACGATGCTTGCCGGCCGCGCGGCCGGCCGACTGGCTGCTCTTCCGGCCAAAGCGAAGAGACCACTTTGGACGAAGGTCGCGAATCACCACAGCCGCCACAGCCTGCTCAGTCCGCAAGGCAAGGCACTTGTCAGCTCTTCCTTGCTTCCGGTGCTTAGGCCTCGAGGCCTCTAGGCCTAGACTCTAGACACTCTGTCGTGACTGGACAGCTCGCAGGCCGGGTGGCTGCGACAAGCCTTTCAACCACATTTCCTCGGCGGAGACACATGGCTTTGCAGAACAACATGCAACGCACTGTAGAACTCTCGGAGGCATGGCTGACAGTATGCTCCTCAATGTTGAAGCATCGTAGACATGTGTCCTCTACTCGACTGACCAGCCGGTCATCGACGGTCAGGGTATGGGCATGGCTGCTGCATCCACTTCTCTGACCCGAGCAGGACTGGAAGCTAATGGCTAAGCACTGATCTCGCGAGTTGCAGATCATGTCAGTGTGCCAATCAGACGGGCGATTCATGTCAACATCTGGTCTTGAATTTGAGGTTGAGCTTGTTCCCTGCCTCGGTGACAACTACTGCCCGCTAATACATCATGCAGCCTCCGGAGCGACCTTTGCTGAGCTCTCAGCGTTTGACCCACGTACCACTTCCTGTGAGATCGCCAGCTGGTTTTAGGTCATGGACACCCCGGAGGCTGGGCTTGGAATACAGCCGGGCTTGGCTGAACCTGAACGCTCACTCTGAGTGTTTGCAGGCTGGGCCCATAGAAAGGGCCCTGCGGAAACGAGGATGGACTCTCACCCACATCTTGAACACGCACTATCACAGCCTCCTTGCTTGAACTAAATTAAATGATGATAAATGATGCCTGCACCCTGTTCAGACTTGGCGAAACTCAGGTGATCATGTGGGTGGCAATCTGGAGCTCAAGGTGGCCACGTGCAGCATCTCATGTCTTGTCAGGCGGTTGACAACGCCACATGTCCAGGCTGAGTTCCCGCAAGTCACGATTGTGGGGCATCGCAGCCGGGCCCTTTTTCTGGTGCAATGTCAGCCACAACTCGAGACTCGCACTCGTTTCAGCAACGCAGCTACAAGTAGTGCCACCAGGCAAAGCCAACTTGAAGACGCCAGACGAACCGGGTTGAAATATGTTGAAATCTCGCGGGATCTCGCCTTTGGACTTTAGACGGACTCTTACGAGGCATCGGTAAGGAGATTATCCCCGGCGTCGACCGTGAGGTGAGGCGTTGGTCGTGCTTCGTTGAAGGTGACAAGTGCACATAGCTAACGTCCTCCATGAAAATGCCTTAAACGATGCTGCATCACATTCTGCGAAGCTTGCACGCAGGTGGCCGAGGGTGACGAAGTGCTCTGTGGTGCTTGGGGCCTTGCTTTGATGATTTGCGCGGGGTAGTCCCATACCAATGACACCTCGGTCTCCGGCACATGACTTAGGCATTGCGTGCACGCGTGCCATGAGCTGAAAGAAGGCGACTTGTTGATTCTGGGATAAGTTGAACCGGTTCTGAGGCTGGAAGTAGGTGGACACACAGTGGCCCACATCGCCTACTTCTTCGAGGAGGCACCGGATCTTCCACTTTCCGATGTGTTCTAACTTCCGGCTTAAGTGAGCACGAACAGGTTCCGATGGCCCTTACCGGCGATGCTCTTTTTACCATGGGATGCGGACGTGTGTTTACCGGTAACTTCGCACAGATGCAGGAGCCTTCCTTGCACATCAGCTGCTTTTGGGGTCTAGAGGTGATGAGCCAGAATTTGCTGGAAACCTTCGGAGGCGTCTCTCAACAAGTTGCGGCAGCTGCCGGACGAGACGGTTGTGCTTGAAGCACAGTCTATGGTCAGTTGCGGTTGTTTCTTCAAGTTTTTGCACGTGTCTGCCACCGTCTGCCGAAGGTTCTGTTCGCACGAGTACACCCTGGCCAATGCCAAGTTCGCAGCAGAGGCCTGTGACATCTGCGATGCTGGCCTGTGACTCGTCTTCGACTCTGCCTTGGGCAGGTGGAGCCCGAGAACTCGGCACTCAAAGCTCGCAAAGCTGAGGCTGCTAACAGCACGACAGAAGCACTCTAGGCTACTAGGACTCTGCGGGACGCCACTTTTGAACCCCTTCCACTCATACAATGCAGAGCAGGCTCCGACGTGTGCTTCAGATTTTGCTTCTCAGCTCGTCTCTGTGGGAGGTGCGGACGATGCGCGATGCGAGCTTGGCCACCGTGCCAACCCTCTTGGGCTACGAGAAAGCAACGAACCCCTTCCTCCGCTGGGACGTGCCAGCAGTACAAGAGGCAAAAGCGGTGGGGCGCCTTGCGTTTTGCAAGCAAGTTCTGGGCTCTGCCGCTTTGCCTCGAAGGCAGCGGGCGGACTCTCGGGAGCAGTTGATGTCTTTACGGCTCTACGAAAGTGGAAGGAGCCGGTCTCAGCAAAGCCAAGCGGCCAAGCGCCCAAGCCATGCAGGACACTGGTATCAGACCCAGAACGGAAGCGCGGCTCTGAGCGTGGTAATGAGCCGCCGTGGTTACATCGAAGGGTGAATGTGTCTCGGGACACTAAAGCACTGTTGACGCATCTAGTTGCGATATGACTTACAGCTTCAGCATAGAGAGTGATAGCAGTTGCAGGTGCACTGTAGCACTGCGTGGCTGACTGTGCGCCGGTCCAGAAAAAGTCAGTTTTCTTGATCCACTATGCACGTGCTTCAGGTTGCAGCAAGTCTCCCACAGATTTCACAATCGTTTCCGCTGAGTCGCGCTTGCAGGATCTGGTCAGCTTGACGGAGCTGGAGGTACTTGTCGAGAAACTGGACGCCACCAAAAACGGTGCCGACGAGCTTTGTTTCGTTTTTACTCCCCATGCCACCTACCTCTGCCTTCATGGCCCCGTGAACTCAATTTCTGCATGCTTGTCCTTTCTCTTTCGTTTATTGCTGTATTGAAATGTATTGTCCAGAGCTCTGCCTCATCAGGTACCGTCGATTACACCTTATTCGTGGCCGCGCTGATTCCCGTGGATGTGTGCCCTGTTTTGGAAGACATTGGAAGCATTGCTGTGTCCTTGTAACTTGCAGCCTCTGACAGGAATGCTTTCTGGTAATTTGCGAGTGCTTCGCTTTGCCCGCAGACATTTTACCGGATGGGACGAAAGCGTAGAGACACGCAAGGGCCGTTAAGTACAACGACATTCGGAGAGTGTTCTCGACTCGTGTTCTGCATACCCAGCTGTAGAGGGTGACTTTAATTTCTTTCCCTGAATCGGCTGCAAGCGCGATGGAGTGCTGCTAGTTCATCAAGCCGTTAGACGTCAGAAGACGGTGGAGACTTTGTGTCGCTTCCAGTTTTCAAGCTGCCGCCTCAGATGCCACTGCGAAGATTTTTGACAACAGCCAGCCTGTGAAGTTGCAGGTCTCTGGAGCATGCTGAGACACGCCAAGCATGCGGGAAGGCATGGCGTTCTATGCCGCAGGCCGGTCCAGCATGCGAAGTGGAAGACTGGCAGACATGTTGAAACATTTGCCCAAGGCTTACCATGCCGCGAAGGGGTTGTCCAAATGCAGGGACTGTTCTGCAAACGGGGATGGCCGTCGCCCCGATCTCAGACCAGTGTCTGTTGCATCCTCGCGGTATCTCACGGCCACGGTTCATGTCGTCAATAGCAATGACCTCGACAGATCTAAGCAGGATGCGATGCCCCCGCGCAAGCTGACACTTGGCCAGCAGCTGCGGGGGTATCCCGTATATTCTCCAACTTGGACACAGCGGGGTTTCGCCAGCGAGAGTGGTCCGAACCCGAGCGCACCATCTTCATCGTCCTCCCAGTCCACATCATCTGCATCCAACATATCCATTTACACGCAGAAGGGCAAGAAGGCGACACACCGAAGAGACTCGACGTCTAATGCCTCTGATGTGCCCTGCATGCACCATCATGCACTTGCCTGCAGGCCGCATCCAAGGCCCTCCATAAGAGTGCCGAGACTCTTCGCTGGTTGGTGATGTCCTTACAGGGGCAAGTCCCGCAGGGTTGCGAGAGTGACTGACGTCCAGCTCAGGCACGAAGGTTTGCTGTTTTGTGTGCGGCCTTTGTGCTTGGCTCAGCGGCTGTGCAGTGAGCGCGCGGCTGTGTCCAGCTCTGCTGCCTTCCTCTGAGGCTCGGAACCCTCTCATCGTCGTAGAATGGTACGAGGACTGGGAGCCCCCTGCGGTGCGAGCGCCAAGCAACACTGCCGCAACTTCGACCGAGGACATCCGCGATGCGATCAATCACTTTTTGAAGCACCTTGGCCTTGAATCGACTCTCGAGATCGAGTGTTCTGCCAGCTTTAGTAGCAGCACTCATGGGAAACCTGGAAAGCGCGACACTTGAGGTGGGTCTACACCGGCTTTAAGCTTTTTGGTGCCGATGTTCGAACGTCCTTCTACCTCACGAAGCGGGTCATCAAAGGCTATCCGCTCTCTGTCAAAGAGCGGCGCCTGCTCGTCAGGAGCAGCGAGAAGCAAAACCCTCTTCGCATGTTTTTGGGAACTCCACGACAAAAAAAGAGATTCTTGTCAGGACGACCAGTGACTGCCTGAAGTTAATACCCTTCGCGATTCCGACGCTCTTGAGCCTGCGAAAGTGTACAGATCTCCCGTGACTATCATGAGATGATGCATGCCAGTCCTTCTTCCTCGTGGTGCCTTTCGCCGTCCTGATCTTAGTTGAGCTCGTACCCTACCCTGCACATGTCATCAGTGACCGAAGTGATGCCATCGGTCAAGGAACTTGCGCTTCCATTCTTCCTGCGGCTTTTTCCGAACATGCTACCATCAACTTTCTTCGAGTCTTCGTCGGCAACGAGCAGATGAGCCGAACGACCCAGAAAATTCAGCAGCTCCACTATGCCTGTGTAGGAACAGAAGTACGACAACGCTACGCTGGCTCGAAAGCTGAAAGCCAAGCAGGCCTGAAGTGGCAGTACAGGAAGAACCCAGTGGTTCATTAAGGTTCATGGTAGCACCATGTCGCGTGGAAAGAGATCCGGCGTGCAGGAGATGGCCGACTTCTGGCAGCAGGTTGTTGCACAGAGGACACAGGAGCTCTACGAGGTGCCTCCATGCAGAAAGGCGTTGCTTTCGGGGTCTTTCAAGCCGCTACCCTCTGCCTCTGCCTCAATCCTAATTGGTCTCGTGAAGTGCTGGTTTGAGCATAGAACAGCCCCAGCTTGGACCCATCAATCAAAGCCTGTCCGAGCTTGGTGGAGTTGCTGCGGTCACAAAGAGTGCACATTGCAACGCTTGCAAAGATCTCGTGGAAGAATCCAAGATTTGGTCATGTTTGGTCCGAAGTCAGTAGTTTGCATTCTTCGAGAGTCGAGCTGTGCCAGTCCGATGAGTATGCGGACAAGGCGGAAGAATTGCAAGCCTTCCAGGAGAAGCTCTCAGAAGGCGGCGCGGGGAATGCTAAAGGTGAAACAGGTGAAACTCAAGGGTCCAGGTTAGGCTAGGGTTCCGGCTAGGGCCCGGCTAGGGCTGCTTGGGCATGGTGTCATCAGGCTGCAGTAGGTTTCGCCGGTCGGGAGTCCCTGTCTTCCCATTCATGGAACTCGAGGCAAAGAGTTCCCGACGCTGAAAGAAATTCTCCGGCGCTGTACTCAGCTCTGACATCTCTGACTGTACTCCGTGCACTGTACGCGCTGTCCCTGCTCGGCCCTGCTCGGCAGGTTTGCGAGCGTTTTCAAAAGCGAAATGCACTTGGAAAACATGTGCCATGCTCAATCTTTGAGTCACAATGCCGTGTCATGCAGGACTGCCACAGCTAAGTGCGTGCGTGCATGCTTCCGCGTAACGGTACTCACTGCAAGGTCCACTCAGCAGCTACATGCGCTTTCTCAGATGCTTGGACTACCTACGCCTAGAGCCCAGCAGTCCAGACATTCCTGCCAAATGTTTTATGAAAGTGGAGCAGCAGCAGCGCTGGCTTTGGCTCGAGACGTCTGGTGCAACTGCGTAAATGCGCGCAACGCCTCGTCGACGGTCCAACTTCGCAGGATCGTCGGATGGTGCGAGTTGTCGTGGTGAGCGACACCCACAACAATCACAGAAGGCTTTGCATCCCGGAGGGGGACATTTTCATACACTGCGGGGATCTGACAAATCGTGGCAGCGCACCGGAGCTGGCAGACGTGAACGAGTGGCTCGGAGAACTGCCGCATCCACACAAGCTCGTGATCTGTGGCAACATGGACCAAAGGCTGGAGTCACAACCAAGCCGTGATGCTCGAGCAAGGTTTTTGACCAACTCTGTGTATTTGGAAGACGAGGCTGTCGAAGTTGCTGGCCTGCGTGTGTATGGGTCACCATACACTCCCAAATTCTGTGGCTCGTTTCAGCTGGCTACTGATCTCGATGCAGACAATAAGTGGGCAGCAGTGCCTGGTGATCTGGACATTCTTGTAACACATGGTCCCCCACTTGGTATACTTGACACTGTTGGCCGCGATCAGCACGCAGGCTGTCCTCAGCTCTTGAAGCGGGTCCAGGTGGTGCAGCCTCAATATCATTTCTTTGGGCACATACACGAAGCAGGTGGACAACAGATGACCCGAGACAGCACTACCTTCGTGAATGCCGCCCAGCATGTTATGGTTCTGGATATCAGTCCGAGGCTTGCGGCTCATGTGGGTGATGGACCGGCTCAGAAGGTCGCAAGGAAGAGCAATGAAATGTGTGAAGACGTCTAACAATTGGGTGAAATCGTGCAGTCTCGCGAGAGACTCGTGCATGAAGCGCCGACGAGCAGAACACAGAGCCCCATAGAGCACCTGCGTTCGGGAAGGCCTCGCGCCCCAGGATTGCTTTCCCCCTACCATTGGAGTCACCCCGCTCCTGAATCATAACTTCAACAACTAGGACTAGGAACAACGCAGTAACAACTGATTGTGGCGGAAAAGTCGCCAAACATGTCGGAGTGCACAATGCCTTCCTCACATGAGACAAACCCGTCCCTGCTGCTGGCGGGGTGCAGGGCGGCAGGAGTCCGGCGTTCCAGCAGCCCCTGCATGCAACATCATGCCTGACCTGCAGTCCCTCTGCATCCCAGCACACTGAAGAATGTGCTTGTGCAGCCGTTAACCTTACTGCGCTTACCACAACACGTGCTGCTCAAACCTAGTTACCTAGTTTAAATGCCAAGTCTTCGACCGTCCTGTCATGTACGTCTCAGGCTTTCAGGCGTTGAGGTCTTAACTGGGGCATAGGGCCACGGTCTGGCTGAAGAACATTCACTAGTGTGGGCAATTGAGTACTTCAATCAGCTTTAATCCACAGGAACATATCCGAAAGATATTGGTACATGCAATCCGAGAACCAATGGCCTTCAGACATACGGTGTGCTGCTTCCGCACTATTCTGCTCAGGTCCCGAACATTCTGGCAAGGACATGTCGAAGCCTTCCCTGCATGTTTAAACGTGTAGTGAGGCCAGGCATTATGCTGAAGCCTAGTGAAACAATAGCTCGGAGTTTTTACTCGATGGAACCCGACAGACGGAGAGACAGAGAGAGAGAGAGAGAGAGTGTGTGTGTGGTTGTTGACGTGGGGACGGTTCAGACGAGGCTTGCTTGTACAGCTCCGGAGCTCCCAAACGCGAGTGGCATGACGCTCATGTCCTTCTCAAATTCTTATTGGTGTGTGAACTGCCTGTAGTGCTTTGGTTGTATGTGCAGCCCGGAACCACGGGCAGTTGTGAAAGTGCTGCGAGAGGGGAGCCAGAGCCTGTTTTGGCCTGCAAACGAGGCCTGAGGGTTCGGGGGTGATGCATAAAGTTCGCGTACAGGGGGGACATACCAGAACAAACTCTAGGCCTCATCGCTTCGCTTTGACATACGAACCTTGTGACCAGTGCTCGCATGCGGAGTGGGCGGGGACCTGCCTGCTGCTGGCTGTGTGGAAGAAGAGCAAGCGAAAAGGATCGTTCTTGCTTGCTCCTGCACAAGTGACGTTGGAGATTTTGCAGCATGAGTCGAACGAGCATGCGGATCCTAGTCACTGCGATCTTGGGCACTGCTTGGGGTAAGAGAGTCGATCGTTTCAGGATGGATGTCATACAAGTAAAGATCAGGACAAGAACTTCTCCACAAGTTGATGTGGAAGCCATGGAAGCCCAGCCAGATCTTTCCGTTTTGCTGCAGCGATCCGGGCTGGCATGTTCCCCTGCTTCACTCAGCTTCACGCAGAAGCCATCCGAAATCCAAACCTCGAGCACTCTTGTGGTGTGGGAGGCTCACGACACTCCAGACGAAAAAACGAGAGAGGAAGAGAGCAAGTTTGCGAGTTCTTTCCGTTCGCTCTCGTTCCCGGTCGGAGCAGCCCACAGCCCACAGCCCGTGGGACTGGAAGCATCCTTGGTGGCAAAGGCAAGGGTGCTTCAGCACCAAACCCAAACGACCCAACCTCTAGTAAGCCTGAGAGAGTAAGCCACAAGGAACACTGTTATGCAACTGCATGGGACATCCACAGGACCCCGCAGACCAACGCACATCATCAGCAGTCCGTGTACTACGGGCCAGAAAGCAAATATAAGAACAAAACAAACTGCCGAGTCGACATTGCCGACGTCGGAGGGATCAGAGAGGAGAGGGAGGAGAGGGGCACAGAACGCGCGAGAGACGGAGGGGGAAAGAGCGACACAACTTTTGAATCGAACGTTTCTCGCCGACCGAACCGACGCGGAGGAGCCGTGAGGCAGAGGCGCTTGCCCGTCCCGTTCGCGTATGTCTATCTGAACCAGAGGAGAAGAGCTTTGGCCTGGGAAGAAAAATGTGCAGTTCCAGCGAGGGGTGCAAGACCTCCTGTGCGCATCGGTGGTGGCACACTGCGTGCTCAAAACTAAAGGAGCCGAGCGGCCCCGGCGAGCCAACCGCTGCCGCAGCGACTCTAAAGCACATTGTGTTTAACGGGCAAGCTCCCCATAGCTCCCCTGCCGCCGTGACAAGCGACGGTTGCCGAAATGTTTGCAACTTTTCATCTGGGATCAACGCTGCCATTCTGCCTTCCATCTTCGTGAAGTCGCAAGGCATGGTGTCATACCGGACTTGAGAGGGGTCGCAAGGCTAGGGCACTGTGAGGGTGACACGCATCCAACTTCACGTGAGAACCTTGAACTTTTACGCGAAGCCGAACGAAGCCTCAGGTGCAGCTCAGACACCACATCACCAACCTCAGGAGGGAGGACTGGTCGTGCTTCTTTCAGTTCTCTCAGCTCTTGGGTCCGTCTCACTGTCTGCAAGGACAGAGATCTCTTTTGGGAGGGCATTGACGGGTTGAAGGCTCAGGAGCTCATCGATGTCTGTCGACGCAGAGCAATTCGCTTTCATGGGGTCAGAGCCTTGGATCCTAGACCCTGTACAAGCATTGAGGCCTGTGCCCTCTGCTGTCTGCGTGCGAGTGCTCATGCAGTTTAGTTTAGCTGTATCGCTTAGGTCACGGAAGATGAGATGCGAGAAAGCCTGAACCGCTGGCTACGGCTTTCGGCAACCCACCGGCAAATCCCGACATCCATGCTGTTGTGGATCCAGTCCTTCTACCTCAGGCGTGCGAACAGCTGCTGTACTGCCCTCCCTGTTCCGGCCGCCCTCTCTCTCTCTCTCTTTCACTTTCCGAGCCTGGCGGTATTCGTAGCTCCCAAGAGGCCAAGAGGGGCCTTAGGGCGCAACATCCCCCTACACAGTGTCCTCAATGCGAGTTCCAAGCGGCCTTGGCTGCGTGGCTTGTGCTCAAACGAACGCAGCAGACCTCCTTTTTGACCTGTGGCCAGCGGTGCCGAAGCACATACGTGTGTATGGAGCATGCAAGGATGCGCATGTTGTGCCAGCGTTCCGCTGGTTCGGTGCTGCACATCGCCGAGGTTCTGCTGAGAATCCGTAGCTATCCGAAGGGTTGATCCCGTGATCGGCCGTGCTTTCGTAACGAAGAAACCTCTTTGGGGGTAATCGTTGATCTGCATAAAGAGCAGTTACGAAGATCCACCACGGGGCGTCGGCTAGGCCCTCGGATGCTCCCGGACAGACGACTATGGAAACTAGTTCGGAGCCTGCTCCAGATTGCGGTGGCTCCGGAATCCTGTAATGGCACTTTCGCTTTTTCGACCGGCTGGACCTCCCCTGCAGGACCAACACCGAGAACGCCAACAGCAGCAGCAGCAGCAGCAGCACTAGCGCACTGGCAATGCGGTATCAGTTGGTTCTTTCGTTGTACTTCTGACGATGGTGGGGCGCTTGAGTTGAAAAAAGAGCGAGCGGCGACCGCGGAGAGCGTTTGTTGGAATGTTGTTCCCGGAGCAGTGTCCAGTCAAAGACGGAACCACCACCACCACCACCGCCACCACCGCCACCGCCACTACTGCCACTACCGCCACTACTGCCACTACCGCCACTACCGCCACTACCGCCACTACCGCCACTACCACCAGCACCAGCACCACGAGCAGCGGCAGCAGCAGCAGCAGCAGCACCACCACCACCAGAACCAGCACCAGCGCCAGCGCCAGCGAGACGATGTAACACGACGGCTGCCTCAAAACCCCGAAAGCTCTTGCGTGGTACTGATTGCTGCGCATTGGAGTGTGATGGCTACAACGTAGATATCTTTCACTTCTTTCTGGAGGGACACTACGGATCCAGAAGCCGACAGCACCGAAGACTTGAAACTCAAGATGCAGGATAGACTTGCCCATTTGTGATGTATGAATGGGCTTGCCCTTGCCCTTAAATCTGCAGAGGGCAGCTCTGTTCTGGGTGGACGCGAGGAGAAGGAAATCATTGAAAAGCCTGAAGATGCCTTCCTCAGCTGGGCCGAAAGGCAAAAGGTCCGCCCCTTGGAAACTGCCATTGTTGGCAAGTCTTGCGTCAAGAGGTCGTTGTGCGGGTAAACAACAAGCCAAGCCACAAAGCGACAATATGTATGTGAATAGGCATGCACGGGATGAACAGGAATAGGCCACGGATACGGCACACGTGCGAGCCGTCACGGACAATATGTGCTCACACATGCACACACACACACACACGCACGCACGCACACTGCTACATACACAGACAGACAGACACACACGCACACACGCACACACACACATACACACAAATGCGCACATGGGTAATCCTGTGTTGTCTCAGGGCCTTGGTTGTGGGCATGTAAAAGAGGATTTCATGTGCGTCCCTTGGAGGTGAAGCTCAGGTGGTATGTGTTTCGGCAGGAACATATGTCGAGAAGCATGCCACAGTCAAGACGGTCAATATGGATCATTATACGTCGCTCACCATGGCCCACATGGGTTGCAAAAAGGGACCTGTCAGACTGACCGTACGACGCTGCAGCTCCGACCTGTGTTCTGACTTCAACGTTTGGCTGCAAGCAGAAGCACAGCCCGTGCACATACAGCTCTTCTGCAGATGTATTTTAAGCGTTCGGCGAGTTTGATGATGATCTGCATCGTCCTCATCATCCTCATGATCATGATGGCGGCAGCGATGGTGCTCACGATGACGGCTGTGAAACGGATGAAATGCACATGATGAAACTTGAAAGATTATAAGGCGAGTGAACGTTTAGCCAACCTGTAGACACTGTAGAGTGTGTGTTTGAGAGTGACAGCAACGGCAGCAGTATATATAATATAATATTTAATATATAATATATAATATATAATATACAATATATAATATATAATATACAATATACAATATACAATATACAATATGCAATATATAATATATATATATTATTAATAATAATAATAGTAATAATTGATAATTATTAATTAACAATTAATATATAATATATAATATATAATATATAATATATATAATATATAATATAATATATATAATATATAATTTAATATATATAATATATATAATATATATAATATATATAATATATATAATATATATAATATATATAATATATAACATATATATAATATATAATATATATAATATATAACATATATATAATATATAATA